ATACATTCTATCATAACATATCCACATATACAAACATATACTTCCACATTTAGATAGATATAAAAAATGCTTACTTTATTTAAATTTATTCTTCGAATATTTTAATTTTGAAATCAGTTTGTAAGCAAAAACCTATAGAAATAATGTATTTCAGTGCGTTTTGTTTTCAGACAACATTTAAACCTAAATGATTAAAAATTCTTAAAAAAACTAAGGATCTAATATTTGGTGGCATTACTTACCCCATCAAAAACCCACTTTTCACACCGACTGCAATTTTCATTTTCTAAACAAAAATACATTTTTTACCTATATCATATACACATATAAACATATATACATATACACATATACCTACACTGACAAACATCCAAATACAAATTTATAACTATAATTCAAATACTAATATAAATATCTAATATACACTTTCAAACAATACAAACGTACACACAAATATGATGATATTTATAAATGAATATATCCACATTTACATAGTTATGCAAAAGTTTACACACATTTATATATTTTAATATCTACCTGCATATCAACATACAAAAATATAAATACATACACAAAGATAAATGTATATCCATATACATCTATTCATATATATATATGTACTATATATATATATATATATATATTGAAGTCAACATCAGAGGCAACAGGCTAATTCATGCTAGACGCTCTATCTCTGATATTGAGCACTTTATCCCATAAATATAGGACGCCTTAAAACTATATTCCTTCATATATATATATATATATATATATATATATATATATATATATATATATATATATATATACAAGATGAACAACCATTTAGTAATGCTCCTTTAAGGAAAACCAAACCCTATCATTTCTCACAATACCTTTGCTTATCCTTCGTCTTTTCTTGATCTTTTAGTTAGATAGATGTGAACAGTGTCAGAACGAGAGAAAGAGACTTATGTGTGTGTACATATATATATATATATATATATATATATATATATATATATATATATATAATTTGGGTAGACGGAACACTTGAGAGCTGTCGATATCTGTGCTAGCACAATGCCACAGTAGGTGTTGAGCAAAGACAAATGTGCCTGAGCAAACGTTTGCAACAGGGATTAGCTAACCACTCTAGTAGACAGGTAGCCTCGAATACGAGTGGTCAGATATTTTATATATATATATATATATATATATATATATATATATATCAAATATATGTCAAAATTGATAGGTAGAAATAAACAAGCATATAGAAAAGTAGGAAAGAAAGAAGAGACCGGCATAGATAGATAAATATGAACAGAATAAGAGTAGAAGAAGCACATTGAAATATATATATATATATATATATATATATATATATATATATATATATATATATATATCAATCTCTTTCTATATATGTATATATATATATATATATATATATATCTTTCTTATATATATATATATATATATATATATATATATATATATATATATATATATATATATATATACAGAGAGAGAGAGAGAGAGCGAGCCATGGTGATGAGCAAAATGAGGTTGACACATAATCAAAAAATATGCAGAAACTGCATTCATAGATTTCTTGGTTTTCAAATATATGCATTTTCATCGTAAAAGCCTAACTAACATTTTATCTTGCTAGCAACAATTGTATAGATGTTCCGGGTTCCTATTTTAACTGCATTAAGCATTATTTAATTGCATTAGTTCAACAATAAAAAAAAACATTCTAAAATATTTTTCGAACAACCTAAGTATTACTTAAAAAAAAGAAATGATGATTAAGTTCTAATGCCAATATTGAGCCGTTCCCTAACAACCTCTATTTTATAACCGGCCTTCCTTTTCTACCCGTCCACATTGGGAATCTAAATTCTACTTTAAGATCGTTCTTTTTAAAACCGAGACAAAAAATAGCAGCAGATACGAGGTGGCTAACAATTATTAATTCACTAGCAGCATGTTGCCGTGCTTGATTCAAAAATCGTACAACTCATACAGCAATCGCTATCACTTGACTTAAAATATTTTTGTTCTTCCTTGCCTTTAAAGGAGTGCCCTTTGCCGTGCTGATGTTGCTACATGCCTTACTTCTTGCCTGTCTCACACTGCGATTTTTTCCTCTATACTAAACATTAAATCTGTTGCGAAAAAAGAACTAAACAAAATGAACACAAAACGATCAGGTTTAAAAAAGGACTCGTAACTGGAAAAACCGAATGAAAAAAGAATGTTAACAACAAATACTTTTTCACACCCAACCCAGTTCTGCGGAATCAGAATCAACGTTGAGTTTAAGCAAGCGAATGAGCCAATTGGAGTAAAGTGCCATGCAGATTTAAATTTTTCCCCCAATTGTGACTTGCAGCTATCGATTTTTTTTGCGTGCTAGCATGCTAGTTAACATTCATGTCAGTCAGCTGTTGGCTCTCACGCTGGCCAATAGAATCTTCCTGCCTATTCGGAGCAGCCAGCTATAGGCTTT